GGCAATTCTTCGGTGTTGCAAGCCATGCAAGCCATGCAAGCCATGCAAGCCATGCAAGCCATGCATGCAACTACATGTACTTCAAGAAACTGTAGGTGTGAGCAGTGCATGTGCATGGTGTTCACTGTACGTTGTTACATGTATGATGATCAGTATCATGTTAACTATGTACTCTAGTATTGCTGTCACAAAGAGAAGAAAGGATAATCTGACATGAGTTTTAAAGATTTTCTCTTTTCCACGAATTTCATTGGTAGGATTGGCTCAACACCTGTTATGGTGTTGCTATCTGTATTGATGCCGTTGGCATTACGCCGTTTGGTTATCTATCTTCTTCCACTGCACAGGCAAGCAAAGCCAACGCCTGCCGTTGATGGTGACTATCTGGTTCCGACCGACACCGGTGCGGCTGTTAAACGCGGATCACTGTAAGCTATGCCCTGTGGCAATCAATACAATCATTGGCTTCAGTATTATCAAGAGTCCATAACCCCCAGAGTGTGCAACGCCACATAAATGTCTGTCACGACTCGTTTTCAACATTACGTCATTTTCATGTAGCTGCGCGTGCAGGCCGCGGCATTCGCTACATGAAAATGACGTAATGTTGAAAACGAGTCGTGACAGGACCCTATCGCGCGTTGCACACTCTGGGGGTTATGGACTCTTGGTATTATGTACATGAATGTGCATGTACTGCATGCAGCAGTCAATACATTGTGTTCAGTATTATGTACATGACGTTGCATGTCCTGTGTGCAGGTGGTAATGGTTGAACCTGCACCTACTGTACTTTCCGGAGTATAAGCCGCACTTTGAAAACTCAAAAATCACCCCGAAAAGTGGGTGCGACTTATACCCCGATGATCAGATTAACGATGATAACAGGGTAGATGTCTGTATGTCCTGGCAAAAAGGGGGCTTGCGGCTTATACTCCGGAAAATACGGTGCCTATACCATTGAATCTCAACCATAGCTAGCATACAGCCAGCAACCGTTCTATACCAGCACAATTGTCTGAAGACATCGTGTTGTGCCGCTGTGGTTGAAAGTCATTTTGTTGTTGAAGAAGATGCACACAGCGCATAGCGAATCAATTTACAATGTGTTTGCTGTGTGTGCGTGCGTGCGTGTGTGTGTCTATGCTGAATAATGATGGTATTTTCTCCACTCAGCGTTGTTGGTGATATGAACCCACCTGCCTCAAAACGCGGTGCTGTGGAGTCAGTGTGTTATGAGCAATTTGACGATGACCAGCTACCACTGGTGGCAGCAGAGCAGTACGTATCTAGCTGTGATAGTATTATTCTTATGTGATAGTATTATTCTTATGTGCTAACTGACTTTGATCCCACATTGTGGTGTATAGTATGTGTGCTTCTGTTTCCGTGTGTGTGTGTGTGTGTGTGTGTGTGGCCATGGCGGTGAACTGCTCTCACCCGCCACCTTCCATTGATCTTCAGGATGGAGGAAGCGTGGAGGTTGTGGACAGCTTTACCTATCTTGGCAGTGTCCTGAGTGCAGACGGTGCTCTGGACAAGGATCTCACCTCCCGTCTTGCCAAGGCCTCTCGTGCTTTTGGCGCTCTCCAAAAGCCAATCTTCGGGTGTAGCGGCCTATCCATTACGTCTAAGCGCCTTGTCTACAAGGCCATTGTCCTCCCTACCCTCTTCTATGGAGCAGAGACTTGGCCCATGAAGGCCCGGCAGATGAATCGCCTGAATCTGTTTCATCGCTCATGCGTCCGTTCCATCTTGGGAGTCTCAAGGAGCGATCAGCACTCCCGTCATCTTAATACTGCTGATCTAGCCCAGAGAGCGCGTCTTCCTGAGGACATTGGCGCTCTCCTGCGTGAGTACCGTCTGCGTTGGCTGGGTCATGTTGCCCGTATGGACGCGGCCCGGATTCCTCAACAAGTGTTGTTTGGTGAGCTCGAGGCAACCAGACCACGGCATGGGCCAAAGAAGCGTTGGCGAGACACAATTGTCGGTGATCTGCGCTCGCTGGATATTCCGGAGTCCGAGTGGTATCGGCTCGCACAAGATCGCCCGGAATGGCGCAGGCGGGTTCATCAACATCGTCTTCCTCCCCCGGCACCGAAGGACTTTCATTGCGCATGCGGCAGAGCGTTTAGGAGGAGTGGCGATTTGAAGCGTCACATCAAGTACTGCCCAACTCAGTAGCCTATCATCTCCACTGGAGATGGGGCGTCAAAGGTCAAAGGTCAAAGGTGTGTATGTGTGTGCATGTGTGTGCGTGTGTGTGTGTGTGTGTGTGTGTGTGTGTGCATGTGCGTGTGCGTGTGCATGTGCGTGTGCGTGTGTGTGTGTGCATGTGCGTGTGCATGTGCGTGTGTGTTGCGCTGTGCGTGTGTGTGTGCATGTGCGTGCGTTTGTGTGTGCGTGTGCGTGTGTGTGCGTGTGCGTGTGTGTGTGTGTGTGTGCGTGTGCGTGTGTGTGTGTGTGTGTGTGTGTGTGTGTGTGTGTGTGTGTGTGCGCGCGTGCGTGTGTGTGTGTGCGTGTGTGTGTGTGTGTGTGTGTGTGTGTGTGTGTGTGTGTGTGTGTGTGTGTGTGTGTGCATGCCTGGTAGATTTGCCCAGTCGGCGTCATAATTATATCCCATACTGGAGCCGGCATGGCGGGATGAGTGGTTTGCATAGCCGTGCCGAGTCAAATTACGTTTTTGTTGTAGACGAGCAATGTTTTACACTGTCCTCCGACTGTATGTATCTCTCCAGACCCCCAAACATCAGTCGGGCTGGATCACTACGGGCTCCTGTCGAATCAGTCTGCTATGAAGCATTTGCTGAAGATGAAATTCTGAGGTATGCCACGTTGCGCAACATTTTGAATGTTGCCTTCTCCCCCTGACCCCTGCCACACAACAATGCAACGACTTGATAGTGTGTTTGATTTCTTTTTTAAACGAACAAATGGTGAGGGTGCAGAAGGAGAAAAGCTAAGACTACCAAAGAAAGACACCAAAGAACAGCCCAAGGAACAATAAAGAACAAGCAGAAATAAAATAATGTGCAGACGAATCGTGATGAGCAGTCAGAGACCAATACGTAAAGAACACATGACCAAGACCATGGACGAATCACTCTCCACTCTCACTCCCAGACCGAACTAGCACTACACATACACGACATGTGCGTACATAATAATCGAATCGAATTTCGTTACAGTTGATTTCTTGAACATAATTAATCTAGTTATTACAGGGGCCTTGATCCAAGAGGGTGGTGGCGTTCCTGTGGATGCGGAAAACTGGGCCTTTGGCCGAGTCTCACGCGAACCGTGAAATTTTTTATTTTTTAATTTTTTAATTACAGGGTGCTTTAATCTAGATACATACTATTCCTGAGCTTGAAGACGTTATTCCTGAGCTTGAAGACGTTTGAATTGTGCAATTTCTGGTTTTAAATAAAAAAGACCGGGCTAACTGAGTTCTGGGCTTGTTCTTGCTCTGCAAACCTTTCACTAATGAGCATGCTGAAGCAGAGTCCTAACTTTTGTGTACGTGTCTGGGCAGTGGCTGTGGAGAATTGTATGTTTTTTTTGGGGGGGGGGGGCACTCTGCCACTGCCTTACAGTAGTGGCGGGGTTGTTCAGTTTGCATAGTTATTGATAGTTGAACCAATGTCTTCACTAGAAATCTCAGTTCTAGTAATATAATCATTCGTTGGAGGGAGAGGTGCAAACAGGAAAGTCCGAAGAAAACAGTTAACTGTCACCTATATACATGTAGCACACATTTCCTCTCCCATATCTTCACGTACACATACAGCATGTCTTCTACGCACCCGGGTAACTGTTGTCTTTCCCCATGCACCAACACATTTCCTTGGGTTCACCACTTCGCCGTTGTCTGTCAATTGCCGCTGAGCACCTACACATTGCTAGTAGCAGCGGGGTGAGGGTGTGTGAGAGGATGGAGTGTGATGTCTGAAGCCGACCATATTTTGATCTTATACTCTTAGTAGTGGAATCATTTACAGGAAGTGTTTCTGAAGTTATCATTGAAACTCATTGTTGTTGTTACCAAATTTGTCTGTGCTCTGTGACTACTAGTCCTCCGGCAGCTGGTAGCAGCAGCAGTGCAGGTCCTGCAATGCCAGCAGTAGTGGAAGCCCAGGCCTACGAGAACTTGGCAGAGCCCAATCCTGCAGCTAGTCCTAGACTCAGCATCCCACCTCCTCCTACTGCTCCACCTCCTCCGAGCTCCCTACCGCCGCCTCCAACCCAGCCACCCCCACCAAGCTCTCCACCGCCGTCTGCCGTTCCCCCACCTCCGAGTTTCCCACCGCCTCCTGAGTAAGCGGCAAGAATTTAAGAAGTGTTTGCTGCAATGATCCCAGAATGTCTGCTATGGTGCATGTCTGGTGTATAAATATGTAAACATGCACTATGACAAAGGCAGGTAGATCCCTGCTCGCAGCAGATATTCTATATCAGCAGTCACAGTGGTGTGTACATGATGCTCTGTTTCCCTGACAGGAATTCTGGAATTGCAATCGGCAACTATGAGAACCTTGCTGATCCTCCTGTGCCCGCTGGCAGGTAGGGAATATCCCCGGGTATTGTTGCAACTGTATTCTGAGACCTTGTCTGGTCTAGATGTGATCATTGTTGCAACTGTATTCTGAGACCTTGTCTGGTCTAGATGTGATGTTGTTGTAACTGTATTCTGAGACCTTGTCTCAGTGGTCCTGATCATGTGATGTTGTGTCCACTGTACCCTAACTAAAGCCTTACCTGGTGCAGACATTGTTGCAACTGTACCCCAAGGCCTTGTCTGGTCCAGGTATTGTTGCCACTGCACCCTAATGTGGATTGTGTGTCTGTTTGTTGCTTGACAGGGGCTCTGATATTCCAGTTGGTAATTACGAGAACTTTGCTGACCCTCAACCTCCTCCCAGCAATAGGTATGAAGCTATCCAAGGGCATTGTTAGTCCATTTTACGCCATTCCACTATGAGCAGTGAAACCCATCCGCTGTGGACTCCTTGTTGCCATGTGACAACAAAGTACTAATGTGACAACAAAGTACTAATGTGACAACAAAGTACTAGCAGATGAAAGCTTCATAGTAGTAATCTAGCAGTGCTTCAAGATGTAGTCATTTAGCTTTCATCTGTCTACCCATTATGCCTGTATCCATTCCCTATAACTTTACCTCCCCTCCCCCCCCCCCCCTCCCCTTCCCCATCCACTGGAATAGTCAGAGTTTGAATTTTTTCTACTCTTGTGAACAGCAATCTTGTGGTGGCATTGCACCATGAACAGGTTTAGTCCGGGGCTTTTGGCATTTGTGAGCTTGCGTGCTGAGCAATTACTTTGTATCATTGTTCAGGCTTGACTCTGAGATGTAGATCTAAGCAATCATAATGTACTAAGGTACCAGCTCCAATTGTAATGCAAGTTTTGCGTAGCTAAAGTATGTTAACGCGGTGACGTAATGTTTTCACTGTATGCTGATGTCTATCACGCGCGTGTTCGCGCCAGCTCACGGATGCGCCGTTGTGCGCATGCGCAAACTCCTCGGCAGCTCGCTTTGCATGCGTACACCCTTCAGCAGCCTTCGTGCCTGGCTCTCTTTGTTAGTTGCATTGGCTCGCATGACTCTTGCTCCGTGTTTTCAAACTCCGGAGTTCTTCAGTTCTGTTCAGACTTCCTTGTACAAGGTGACATCGTCGTTTCGGTCTCTTGTTGCCTAGTTGTGGTGTCCAGTCCCTGGGCGGGCTGGAATTCTGAGTGCTGTATCCGCGGAGTGGTTTACTCAAATTTTCTCAAATTTTCCCACGCTGAGGCAAGAGATGTCGCGCAGGTCCGCCAGGTCATCTTCTAGCCCCTACGCTAGAGTAACATCCTCCCCTGCTCCTGGAACCACCCAGGCCAGAGCCCCGGCCCAGAACCTCGCGCCGCCTCGTGCTCCTCGTGCTTCGGCTCTACCTGGCCAAGTGCCTCCGTCTCAGTCAATGCCGGCCGGCCACCCACCCCAGCCCACGCTGGCGAGCCAGATCTCCGCCGCCGTGGCTGTTGCTATTCAGCCTCTGGCCGACAAGGTTACCCTGCTGGAGCAGGCTGGCGCAGCCCAACTCGCCGGCCCAGGAACTGGCGTAAACTCGGGACTCGCTCATGTTCCGACGTTCAGCGGGGCCTCGCTTTGTGCTGCCGGATCAATCGCCACTGCAGCGCCGGTTTTACCAGTATCAGTACCGGCTGCCAGCCACCCGACACAACAGTGGCCGTCATCTGGAGACCTCCCCGTGGTGCCGCCTCGCCTTCGAGACCGGATTGTGCGAGGTGAGTTCACAGAATTAAGCGATTTGCTGCCTGAATCCCTGGGCTTCGAGGGGGATCATGATGTGATGCAACTCGACGTGGGCGCGGGCCGATCTGTGCAGCTCGTCCCCAAATCTTCCCACCGGCAACCCGCCAAACGACACATCTATGATCTTGCCACATGGGTGGAAGCGTTCACCACATACTCGAGGGTGCTGGCCGACGCCTCACCACAGCTGGCAGGTGATCTCTGGGCGTATCAGGCCATCATTGTCGATGCCAACGTCCGGTTCCACAATGATGCCTGGCTGTCCTACGACCGCAAATTCCGTATGGCCAAGGCGTCCCTCCCTCACCGCTATTCCTGGTCCGTCATTGACCCGAACCTGTGGCAGTCTTGTCTCACGGGCCGTGGGCGGCCTCCGTGCCAGCGTTGCTCCATGGTCCATCCAAGTCAGCCCAGCAGCTGCCCCTTTCGTGGGGGGCTCCCAGCCCCAACAGCGCCTACGGGGAGCCAGTTCTCGCACCAGCCTGGCTTTGACGGCAAAGCCATCTGTCGTAATTTCAACTTCGGCAGCTGCTTGCTCTCCCCCTGCTCCAGAGCACACGTCTGCATCCAGTGCCGCGGCCGTCACCCCGCACGCCAATGCTCCAAGTCTGGTGACTCGACCAAGAAATAACTCTCACCCCAGTGGTGACGCTGCTTTACAGGTGCCCACTAGCACGCCTGTTCATGTTCAGCGCTTTATCAATCTTCCCTCTCCTCATCCAAATGCAGTATTTCGCTCTTATGGTTCACAAGGCATGCAGTATGGCTTTCGTATTGGCAGCTTTCGCCCCATTGCATCTTCTGTTATGTCTCCTAATCACTCTTCGGCTTGTGCTTGCCCTGCTGAGGTTACTACTCATCTGCTTACCTGTTGTGACCGCGGAGAAACTGCGGGCCCACTTGCATCTCCGCCATTCCCTCACATGCATATTTCTGGTTTGGGTGCTATCCCCAAGTCTGATGGCAAACTGCGTATCATCCACGACCTCTCGCCCCCTGCCGGCTCGAGTGTGAATGACGGTATATCTCGGGATGAATTCAGCCTGCAGTACGAAACTGTCGATACAGCTATCTCTCTGATCATGCAGGCAGGGTGTGGCGCTCTTTTGACGAAGGTCGACAGTAGGGGTGAAACGAGTATCTATTTTGACCAACCGATCACTCATTCATAATATTCGATCGAGTATCCGATTATTTCGAGTATTTTATCGAAATTCAAAAGCGCTAGATTTGTGAGTTCTCGACCAATTCGGAAGAAATTATCTGTGAACATAGAACAAAAGTCGCCAACGTCTTGTACAGAGTGTAAAGTAACGATTTTCACCAGTACTTTCATTATCTCAAAACAAAATAACGTTACTTGCCGTGGTGATCGCATCGTCCAAGTCATAAAATACTGACTCAAAGGCACGAATAATGCGTGCATACCAGTCGATGAGCAGTACAACAGGAGTTTTTGAAAAATAGAATGCCAGTACCAAAAAAAAACGATCGAGTGCAAAATTTCGAATACTCGCTCGTTTGAGATTTTCGAACGAATACTCGAATATTCGAACTAATCGTTTCACCCCTAGTCGACAGGAATGCATTCCGTCTCTGTCCTGTTGCCCCCTGTGACTGGCCTTTTCTGGGCATCTTCTGGCAGGGACAATTCTATCATGACAAAGTGCTACCATTTGGATTGCGTTCTGCACCATACATATTCGATAAATTCGCCACAGCAGTCCAGTTTATTCTCGAGGATGCATGCCACCTAAGCCAATTACTCCCCTACCTGGACGACTTTCTGAACGTTAGTCCGCCCCACCTGCCCGTTGCGGAACATCATCGCTCACATATCTTAGACATGCTCCGCTATTTGCAGATACCGGTGGCCTCTGAGAAAGTCGAAGGCCCATCCACATGTCTCACCTTCCTCGGCCTGGAGCTGGATTCGCTGACGTTTGAGATCCGGTTACCGTCCGCCAAACATGGGGCGTATCTCGGCAAAGTCAACGGCCTCCTTCAATCAGGCATGGCGTCCCGGCGCGAACTCGCCTCCGTGTTGGGCAATCTCTCGTTCGCGGCCCGGGCTATTCCTGTCGGTCGTACCTTCCTGAGGCGCCTGTACGACCTTGACCGTGCAACAAGCAACCTTCCAAAGCACAAGGTTCTCTCTGGCAATAGCACCGTCATCCAGGAGGACATACTCAGCTTCAGAGCGGCGGTACCTGGATTTCTGTCAGCAGCATGGCGTTGTGGCCCTGCCTGGAAGCGATGTTCCACTGTGCTACTACGCAGCCCTCCTCATGCGCACACTGCGGCCGGCCTCGGTTCGCACATATATGTCAGCCATCTGGAACTTACACGTCGAAATGGGCCTCGAGTACCCGAATCAGCCGACGTCCCTGCTGTCACGAGTGTTAAGAGGCATAGCCCGTTCGTCGGGACCTGGTCGCCCTCGTTTGCCTATCACAACACCCATCCTCCGGCAACTCTGCCAACGCCTCCAAGTTTCCTCCATGCGGCACTCAGTTGACCAGGCAATGCTGCAGTGCGCCTTCACCCTGGCCTTTTATGGCTTCCTGCGCTGTGGTGTGAGCTCACCTCGTTGACGTTTGGCAACGTGGCCCTGGACCAACAATCATTTCGTATCACCATCACGCTGCTGCAATCAAAGACGGACCCGGACGGTAGGGGCACGGTAGTCCACGTGGGCGGCTGTACCGATGTCATCAGCTGCCCTGTTACGGCGATGGTGCGGTACCTGACGGCAGTGTCGGCAGAGTCCCAATCTCCTAGAGATCAGCTGCTCGTCTACCACAATGGCCAGCCTCTGACACGAGCGGACGTCACGAGGGAGGTGCGGACCCTCCTACCGCTTTGTGGGATTACAGATCCGTCCAGCTATGCCAGCCACTCATTCCGGATCGGAGCAGCCACGTCTGCAGCTATCGCAGGCGTACCAGAGCACGTGATCCGCCATATGGGGCGATGGCGCAGCGACGCCGTACTGCGCTATATCCGTGTTGAGCCATCCGAGGTGCGGCTAGTATCAGAGAAGCTAGCCACAGTGAGTGACTGACCAGTAGCGCTGCACCTTGACGAATGTCTCCTCCGGTATACATACCAACTCTCAGTACCGCTATCGGTACCTAGATTTCTTGACTGCTAGCAGCTCCTGCTATACTCCTCGTTCAATGCTCGCGTTATTTCTGAGCACTGACTTATTTGGTTGGCCCACCAGGGTAACTAGCTTGGGCACTGAACTCTCAGTAGCTGGCAGCATTCTCTCTACTCTCCCGAATCACTCTATTCGGTTACTGCCCTTGGCAGGTCAGCCGCCATTTCGGTCTCACTCCGAATCACTCTATTCGGTTACTGCCCTTGGCAGGTCAGCCGCCATTTCGGTCTCACTCTCGGTCCCCGCCTCTGTCGGGTCAGCCGCCTCCATGGTTACACACTGCCAGCTCCTTTGCCCAGTTACCCTGTGGTGCCAACCAACTACTGCTGTGTCTGTGTGTGGGTCGTGTATGCCTCCGCGTACGGAGCATGCGTTAATGCAAGTTTTGCGTAGCTAAAGTATGTTAACGCGGTGACGTAATGTTTTCACTGTATGCTGATGTCTATCACGCGCGTGTTCGCGCCAGCTCACGGATGCGCCGTTGTGCGCATGCGCAAACTCCTCGGCAGCTCGCTTTGCATGCGTACACCCTTCAGCAGCCTTCGTGCCTGGCTCTCTTTGTTAGTTGCATTGGCTCGCATGACTCTTGCTCCGTGTTTTCACCCACCCACCCACACCGACTTCATTGTGTTACAATTCTCATTCTGTAGCACCCCGTTTATACTACTAACCTCGTTCGTCTTCCAAACTCACTCTGCTAAACCAAAACAAAAACAAGCAGGGATTGGGCACTGAACTCTCAGTAGCTGGCAGCATTCTCTCTACTCTCCCGAATCACTCTATTCGGTTACTGCCCTTGGCAGGTCAGCCGCCATTTCGGTCTCACTCCGAATCACTCTATTCGGTTACTGCCCTTGGCAGGTCAGCCGCCATTTCGGTCTCACTCTCGGTCCGCGCCTGTGTCGGGTCGGCCGCCTCCATGGTTACACACTGCCAGCTCCTTCGCCCAGTTACCCTGTGGTGCCAACCAACTACTGCTGTGTCTGTGTGTGGGTCGTGTATGCCTCCGCGTACGGAGCATGCGTTAATGTTTCTTTCTGCTTTGCGTCGTGGATGTGTACTTTGTAGCGGAGGAGCTCCGGGAGCGATTGCTACAACAAACTATGAAAACTTTGAAGTAGCAGCACCTGCAAGGTAAAATTTATACAACACATACAGTGCATTCAAAGTTCTGTAGTTGTGCTTATAAAATGCACTGTACCGGTGTTTTCAACTCTGAACGGAGCTGTCAGTGAATGGTGCCATGCATGGGGTCTTTGGAGCACGTCTGATCACATACACGGATATGCATCGAGTACTCCCATCCCGGGCCTCTCTCCCATTGCCCCCCCCCCCCCTTCATGACCCTCTTTTCTCTTGCTCTCTTTCCAAGGTGAGTGCATCAGTGGCGGATCCAGGATTTGGCCGAAGAGGGGGCCCAAGGTATCAGCCCCCCCCCCCCCCAAAAACAACAACAACAACAACAACTGCTGTATTCCATTCGCACGACATTTTCAAACTGCACTGGAAGTGTTGTCAAGCTGTGGTGTAACTCAGTTAGGGCAACACTACTGTACTAACAGGTATTTGTATGTTATAAAGTTACCACATATATATATATATATATAGTGCCATGCGCTACTTGATGTACCAGCCTGCTATGCCGGATACCGCCAGCCATGCATCGACCAGGCGCCAGGCGCGAACTGATGGTGGTGGTGGTGAGAAGGAGAGCTCTGTGCCAGAACTTTGCAGCCTAGAGAGCGTGTGTGGGCAGGCGTGTGTTTACCGCCATATTGCCAGGTGTGTCTTTACCACCATATTTATCAACCATATATATATGTGTTATGTAATATGTATCTCATTAATGATTTTCTGTCTGAAGATCGCTTAGTGTGTGAAACAGCCATTTTACTGCCCTTTCTTCTACTTCTTCTACAAATATACATGTATGTCATCAAGCCACATTTCCAGTTCAAGCATAATTATGTACAGGCATTTGAGTTGATGGGACAGTCAACTGCTGGGGAAAACTGTAAACGCGAGGGCTGCTCAGTACTCATCCTCATCGTGGTTGCATGGGTCTACAAATTGCATGCGACGGGGTGCTCTGGTAGCAAACATGTCGACGATCTTGTTGTAATCCAGCTTGATGTCTTTGTGGACGTACAGTAGCAGCAGGTCATTCAGTCGCGATTGGCCCATTGAACTCCGTAGATCTGTCTTCACATATGCTAAGGCAGAGTTTGCACGTTCCACAGATGCTGAAATGACAGGAGCGATGAGCAGAAGCTTCAGGATGCAGGAGATGTTTGGAAACGACATCTTATCAACAGCACTGAGGGTATCAGCAAGTGACTTGGGAAGATTGCCAGCCTCAACTTTCTTCCATTTCCTCACCCACCGGTCAACTTCCTGTGGCAGAGAATAGGCAGCTGGGAGGTCGGTTGCAAAGGCTTCCTGGAGCTTGCTGACAATGTCTTCACTGATGCCACACGGGAGAACAGCATTCTCGGGGAGCAAACACAGGCCGGAGACGGCGGTTTCCGTTATCTGGTTGAAACGGGCTTTTAGCTCCTGCAGCAAGGAATCTGCGAATGGAACGAATACTGAACGCCGCCAGAACTCCTCGGGCGTAGTTGCTGGAAGGTTTGAGCGGTGACGCTGGGTTGCACATCTCCGAGGAATACGCAGGTCGTCAGCACCCATCTTGTCCACACTTTGCTCAGCTTCCCTGAAGATGTCAGCAAACCGTTCGTCGCTATTCAAACGGGCACTCTTGATGCACTCTCGCACATCTGCTATCTCGGTATAGGCGGTGAACACATCCATGCTGGACCCTTGTAGGAGGCGTGCGATGTCTTTGGTGAAGCCAAAGAAGTACCGGCAGACGTGGAAAGCAATCAGGTACTCCGACGATCTAATGTCACGCAGCAGACCGCAGGCATCTGTTACACTCTTCGCATCCCATTTGACGTCTTGCTGGAGGGCTGGCTGGCTGATGACTTCCAGAGTGGAGGAGAGCGGCTCCATCATGTCGTGGAAATCCTCAAAGGCAGTATGCCGCTCGATCCACCTGGTTTCGCATAGCATTTTGAACTTGGCCTTGGCGATCTCTGGTTTCCGTTCTGCTTTCCGCTGCCGGTTGATGGTGTCCACAGCTTCTTCGAACGCGCGCTGCTTCTTGGGAGAGTACTTGAAGAACAATCCAAGCTGCTTCATTGTTGCCACCATCCGCAAGACTTCAGGAACGCTGCAGGCTTTGGACAGCGCCAAGTTTAGTTGGTGGCTGGTGCTGTGGTAGTACGTTGCCTGAGGTATTTCATCCTTGAAGAGCGCCTGGCAACCTCTCAGCTCACCAGCCATAGCTCCCACACCATCATAAGCTTGGGCACGGCACAGAGTCATGTCCACGTGCAGGTCTGCAAGGAAGGTCTTGATGGCCTGGAAGATGTCACAACCTCGGACCTTCTCCAATGCAACAAAGCCAGCGAGCCTCTCCAAGACTTGGCCATCCTTGATATACCGCAGCACAACACCAAGCTGCTCCCAATTGCTGACGTCTGCCACCTCATCTGCTGACACTGCGTAGAAACCGCTTGCCCGAACATCCGCTGCTATCTGCTCTCGAACATAATGCCCGATGCAGGAGAGTAGGGCATTCTGGGAAGTCTTGGAAATGTAAGTCTCGCGTACAGATGCTGTCTCCAAGTGACGTCTCAGCACATCATCACCAGCCTCAACACGGAAGTTGACCAGGGACTTGAAATTTCCTTGTTTCCAGCTGTCATCCAATGCATCACCGTCATCTCGATGGCCTCTCAGTGCCAAGCCATTCCTGCCACAGAACTCCAGGCATTTGACAATGGAGAAAAGCTTTGCTCTATTCTCCTTCACTCTTGCTGCTGCCTGCTGGCTGATTGTGGCATCAATCCTGCTGCCTGGGGTTCGCATCGTTTTCAAAAAGGAGTCCATTTTCGCTTCCGAGGACAAATGGTAATCCAGTGACCTGTGAGCGGCCAGTTCCTGAGTTGCGTCCTTGAAATTCACAAGTGGCGTGGAAATTAGTATTCGCGCCCGACCACTTGTTGACTGAGTGACCGGGAACAGGACACAAGGTACACAATAAATTCCACGTTTTACCGCAGAGTAGGCCGTAAATGGGAAGGTGTCGAACCACGACCTGTTGCAGTAGCGCAAGCGAACTCCGTCCTTGCGACTTTTGTCTTTGACAGTCTGGCAAGGCATTTCTACCGCAGGACCTGGCTTGCGCGACTGAACAAGTTTCAGCTTCGTTTCAGCGGATATTGAAGTATCGATCTGACCTGCATAGTCGCCGATGTCCCAGGATTCAGAGGGAAACTCACGCGGCGAAACCGGTACTCCAGGCTGAGATCTTTCCGTCGCTGGAACAGTGCTACTCTCAGTGGGCTTGGCGTGCGAAACGGGAGATCCAGGCAGAGAACTGTCACTGGAGGAATGACTTGAAATGACTTCACATTCAGGAGTAGGCCTGTCCGAAAAATGTGTTTTAATTTGCGGAAAATGGAAATGCAAAATTCACGGTTTTCCAGCCAACATTCAAACAAGAAATCAAAGAGGAATGCAAAAAAAATTAAAAAATCAAAGCCAAACAACCCAAAACGCAGAGAAAATGCATCCGTTGCCATGGCAACCAGAATCTAAAATGGCCGCCATGCCGTGGTGATCACAAAAATAGTGACAGTCACTATTATTTTCCGTGTCACACAGTACATGTATACATGTAGTATCCCTGCCTTGCTAGTACATGTACCTCTAATCATGTCACGTGTACATGTACACGCACTGCATGATCATAATCTTGTCACCCATTTTGCTGACAAGCCTGCAAAGCTAATCATTTTCTCACCATTGCAAGTCACTTGTGTTGCCCTTGCATACTACCTGTACCACACATGTACTACTAGTACTAGAACACATCTTTGTACAATCATGTAGTTTTACATCATCACACCTGCATGTACATGTAGAACTAAACACCCATGTGTTCGCATTTGTGTGATTAGGAGGCCAGTGCAACTGCCTCTCTAACTAAAGTCTAAGTCTAGAGTCTCAGCCAAGAGGGACAGTACAGAAGACACCGAAATAGCAAGCCGAACTTGACTTGGTCGAGCTGAAACCTTGGCTGAAACCTTGGAATTCGACCGAAAATGGGCAAAATTCAGAAAAAATGCAAAAATGCAAAATGTACCCCAAAATGCAAAAAAAATTCAGAACATTTTTCGGACAGGCGTATTCAGGAGCAGGTTCGGGTAATGTCGCAAGTGCAGGAACATTTCCACTCGGCAGCGGCTGCGACGGACCTTTGGACGGCTCTTCAACGCGAGCTCTCTTATCTACCGGTCCACTGAAGAACGACCTGATGTCAGACCCTTTCCTCTTCATCGCATATCTGAAGGTAACCCGTTGGCTACAAGCGAAGTAGAGAGAGCGCTTACTTTTAGTTTCTGACAAGTGAAAAAGAAAAAGGAAGGACGAAGTCGACAGCACCGTGCACCGTACAGGACTTCAGCCCAACGCGATGAAGAGCTGTACTTTGTACCAGGCCCTGCATTTTTGGCACGCTTTTCCCATGTTTGTAGTGCGGCCGTGTCCTCAGGTCGCAGTGCGTACAGTAGTTGTACACAGCGCGCTGGCCAGTGCGTGACACCGGATACGTATTATGTACCCAGCACGCGTGACCCTCTTGACACGCCATGCGCCAAGTCATTTCGAGCGCTCATTCTACAGTCTACTGTAATCCTAGACCAAGGTCGAAATTTTCAATGGGGGGGGGGGCCAGGCCCCCTGGGCCCCCCCCCCCCCTCCTGGATCCGCCACTGCGCATGGTAGAAGTGCTGTAGCTGTACACTGTGACCCAGGGGCGTAGCAGTCAGTCCGGCCGGTTCGCCTTTGGCCGGACCACTTTTTTGCCCAGAAGTGCCCAGAATGCAGGATTTTGCACCTTAATTTCAAAACATTTCCCGCCGGGGGCACCCCGCTCGAACCTCCCTCCGGCCGGACCACCTCCAACGGCGGTGCTACGCGCCTGGCACCACAATATAACATTACGCTGGTGATGTGGGCTGCCATACTGGCAAAGGCACAGACACATGTACTGCGCATGTTGTTTGTTGCGTGTTGTCACTTCACTCACGCTGACCCACGTGACATGGGCCTTGCACTGGCTTCTGCTTGTTACTATGCAAACGTTTCCAAATTGCAGGGGGAATATGTAATCAGAATAAAGTCAGGCACCCCAGAACGTAAAACAGTAATGTGTAATCAAAATGACTGTGATGCAATCATATGTTGTTTTCTATTCAGTGTTGGTGGAAAAACAGTTGATTCGAGCCGTGGCGCAGTCGCTTCCATTTGCTATGAGAACATTGGTGACCAGGAGAAGTCAGCATCAACAGCAGCAGTAGTCAGGTAAGGAGAGCTATTGAACAGCACTGGAAAATTGGCTGAGCACTAAGGTGCTTGAAGAGTCGTCGAAATATGTAGCTCATGGTGTGTTCGTTCTTCCAGTGTATGCGTGTGTGCGTGTGTGTGTGCGTGCGTGGTGGGTGTGTGTGTGTGTGTGTGTGTGTGTGTGTGTGTGTGTGTGTGTGTGTGTGTGTGTGTGTGTGGCCCATATGGTGCAGTGGTATGTGCAGTCGATTTCCGATCGAGAGGTTGCGGGTTCAATTCCCGACGATTATGGTCGCACACGTCTTTCTTCTCTTTCTCGGACTCTTCCTGACTTTTCTTTCATTCTCCTGGGTGGTTACCAACAGCCAGTGTATGCCGGAGTATGTGGTGTGATGTGTGTGTAAAAAAAATGGAAAAATGAAAAATAGGGATTCACTGGCCAGAAAAAAAGTCACTTCAAACAGCTGTGTGGTGGATACCAGGCTAAAAATAATGGCGGTCAATTCCTCAGCCTTGCAAGCTGTTGAATGGTGTAATGACTGTAATCCCAGCACAAGTTGCTATGTCTAACATAGCTGTTCGCTATCATCGCTTCCGCGATGGGCATGTCTGAGGTCTGAGGTCTGAGGTGTGTGTGTGTGTGTGTGTGTGTGTGTGTGTGTGTGTGTGTGTGTGTGTGTGTGTGTGTGTGTGTGTGTGTGTGTGTGTGTGTGTGTGTGTGTGTGTGTGTGTGTGTGTGTGTGTGTGTGTGTGTGTGTGTGTGTGTGTGTGTGTGTGTGTGTGTGTGTGTGTGTGTGTGTGTGTGTGTGTGTGTGTGTGTGTGTGTGTGTGTGTGTGTGTGTGTGTGTGTGTGTGTGTGTGTGTGTGTGTGTGTGTGTGTGTGTGTGTGTGTGTGTGTGTGTGTGTGTGTGTGTGTGTGTGTGTGTGTGTGTGTGTGTGTGTGTGTGTGTGTGTGTGTGTGTGTGTGTGTGTGTGTGTGTGTGTGTGTGTGTGTGTGTGTGTGTGTGTGTGTGTGTGTGTGTGTGTGTGTGTGTGTGTGTGTGTGTGTGTGTGTGTGTGTGTGTGTGTGTGTGTGTGTGTGTGTGTGTGTGTGTGTGTGTGTGTGTGTGTGTGTGTGTGTGTGTGTGTGTGTGTGTGTGTGTGTGTGTGTGTGTGTGTGTGTGTGTGTGTGTGTGTGTGTGTGTGTGTGTGTGTGTGTGTGTGTGTGTGTGTGTGTGTGTGTGTGTGTGTGTGTGTGTGTGTGTGTGTGTGTGTGTGTGTGTGTGTGTGTGTGTGTGTGTGTGTGTGTGTGTGTGTGTGTGTGTGTGTGTGTGTGTGTGTGTGTGTGTGTGTGTGTGTGTGTGTGTGTGTGTGTGTGTGTGTGTGTGTGTGTGTGTGTGTGTGTGTGTGTGTGTGTGTGTGTGTGTGTGTGTGTGTGTGTGTGTGTGTGTGTGTGTGTGTGTGTGTGTGTGTGTGTGTGTGTGTGTGTGTGTGTGTGTGTGTGTGTGTGTGTGTGTGTGTGTGTGTGTGTGTGTGTGTGTGTGTGTGTGTGTGTGTGTGTGTGTGTGTGTGTGTGTGTGTGTGTGTGTGTGTGTGTGTGTGTGTGTGTGTGTGTGTGTGTGTGTGTGTGTGTGTGTGTGTGTGTGTGTGTGTGTGTGTGTGTGTGTGTGTGTGTGTGTGTGTGTGTGTGTGTGTGTGTGTGTGTGTGTGTGTGTGTGTGTGTGTGTGTGTGTGTGTGTGTGTGTGTGTGTGTGTGTGTGTGTGTGTGTGTGTGTGTGTGTGTGTGTGTGTGTGTGTGTGTGTGTGTGTGTGTGTGTGTGTGTGTGTGTGTGTGTGTGTGTGTGTGTGTGTGTGTGTGTGTGTGTGTGTGTGTGTGTGTGTGTGTGTGTGTGTGTGTGTGTGTGTGTGTGTGTGTGTGTGTGTGTGTGTGTGTGTGTGTGTGTGTGTGTGTGTGTGTGTGTGTGTGTGTGTGTGTGTGTGTGTGTGTGTGTAGCATTATAGTAATAATGCAGATTAATGGGTGCACGCGGCTGCTTCGTGCTACCACTCAAACTATGCTGCTATGAACGTGCGCTGTACGTGCTCACATGGTACTCTATGCATCATGGCATTCTATGTGTCATACAACGTGACACTCAACGCGACATTCATTCATGCGCGACGCTCAACGTAGGCGGCATGCGTCGTAGGCACTCAACGTGTCATACTAAAGTTTGGCGTTCATGCGTGTCGCTCGCCTCCGATGTGGAAGGCGTGTGGCTGCGTTATGATGACGCTTGCTCGTAGCTTAACGTGGGTGGCATGCATCGTTGCATGTCTTGCTAGAGTTTGCTCTGCTATATATTTTCGATCCGTTCTCTGCGACAATCATTCTTCCTTGCTCGTAGTGTGTATTATATTTCGATTCGTTCTGTGAGCGGATCACTCTTGTCAGATCATTGTGTTTGCTCGTAGTGTTTCACAGTTGGTGAGTTTATTCGCTCCTCGCCGCCGTTGTGCTTTGACTCGTTCTTATCCTTGTTTTCGCGACGCCATGGCTGCCTATACTGACGACGAAATCCGCGCCATGACGGTTCCGCGTCTCCGCAGCAAACTCTCGCCGTTGGATTTGGATACTTCGGGCCAGACGGCTGCCCTCGTTGATCGCCTGATTCAGGCCCAAGTTCATCACGCTGATCCCTGCGAGTCTGCAGCGAGCACAGCACGGCGAGCAGAGCAGGCAACAGAGAACACTTCTGGCGGCCATGGCTCCCGATTCTCTGCCTCATAGTCATACGAACTCGACTCCTCTCCCAGCCAGCTCAGGTAGCAGCAAGTCGTTCGCCGCCCACCTGGGAGCTAAACATCGCGAGCGGATTTTGATGGGTGAGTTCGTGGAATTGAGTTAGCTCTTGCCCTCTGTGTCTTGCTCTGTGCCGCACGCCCGCACACAGAACGTGCTCCGTTGAGAGTCGTCGGATGGGGGCCCGTTGCGGGTGGTCGAGGACGGCGCTGCCCGCGGCAAGAGCAGGCACGTTCACGACCTTGCGACGTGGGTGGAAGCCTACACGATCATGAGCCAGGTTACCTGTTTCAGTGTTTTCACAGTTTGTATTTTGCTCGCTCTTCGGTTTGAATAATTCCTCGCCGATCGCCTGTTTCAGTGTACTTCACCACGCTGAATCCTGCCATTCTACCCCGAGCGCGGTGAGCGGAGCAGGCAGCAGAGAACGCGAGTCAGCGTTACTCCCAGCAAGAGTAGGCATGTTCATGATCTTGCGACATGGGTTGAGGCCTTCACCGTCTTGGTCCAGATCATGGTCGACATTGCTTCGCACAGGATAGTGGAGTTGCTGTCCTGTCACTTCCGCATCAAGGCTGCTGCCGACCCATCACTGAAGTGGGACATCATTGAGCCCAGTCTGTGGCAGCTGATATATTTCTGACTGTCTCCAACGCTGCTGCAAGGACGGTATGACAGCTGGTCCATTTAACACACAACCGTTTAGCCCCATGCAGTCGTTTGGGCTAGGCATTGTGCTGGCCAAGAGTTTACAACGCCCTGGCCCTAGCATTGCCAAAAGGGAACTGTTTGCCAGCGACTGGCCCTAGCATTGCCAGAAGGGAACTGTTTGCCAGCGATAATCTATCTTTCTTCTTCAAAGTAAGTTCTGCAACCCCAGGCTATGCAACTCCACACCAAGTTACTCAGTACTGTGTACATACTTGGAGCATGCTTCGACCAGCAGCATCCAGTTCTTCCGTCTGCACCCAGGCACAGCCCTGTCATCAATCCATCAAGTACTGCTATTACTTGGTCTACTTGTCATTGGTGGGGTAAGGAACTCCCACACACACACATCCATAGTGCATCAATCAATCTGGTGCTAGTGCCTGTCACTTTCGAGGTGCACCACCTACGTACTCACAGGCTGGCTTATGCCCATGCTGTTGCAGTCTCCTCCAGTTAGTATGGGGGTTAGCACTGTTGCAGTTCACACTGCCATCCCAACCAGTGTGTATAACCAGCAATTGACGTGTTGCAAGTATTCAAGTGTTCAGTCCAACAGCAGATTTGCTTGGGCCACTCTTGTCCAACCATTTATGTAGTTTTCCAGTATAACCTCAACCTCTCTGGCCCGACGTCATTTAGTCTCTGCCACACTGACAGGCGTTGCGTCCTCAAGCACGAACTCGCCTGCCTTCTAGGTCAACTCACATTCGCTACCCACCCGTACGTTATTATGCCCTGCCTGTCTGACCTTGTCAAGGCCACATCTGAGTTCATCTCACAGAATGCTGCACCTCTCAACCTCAGTCAAGGACGACCCTGAGCTGGTGGCACCAGACTCTGTCAACGTATTGAAGGTTGGCACAAGCCGTTCAGTTCTTCTCTGGTCATGGCACTCATCTACACCCTCTACTTGTGTCCAGTACTACTTACTGTTTCGAGCATCACACCTGCCAGTCACCTCCAATACCATCGATGCTCCGTGCCCGGACCAAGTTGGATGACTCCAGAACCTTTGCTCCCACAGCTGCGGCGCGACCTGACACCATGGTCTAGCCAATCACCGCAGCAATGTTCATCCTTCTATTTGGGCAAGCTCCCTTTGCTGCACGAGCATTTATCCGGCATGAAATGAGGGACACCGCCAAGGAGATCATCAAGGTAACTGTCTTACTGGTTCTCATCCGTGTTGCTTGAACTCTTGTCAGTGTCCTCTTTACCACATGCTGTCTCAATCCACACACATTTAATGCCTAGCTACCCAGGCGGCTTTTTGTCCTCGTCCCTCTCTTGGCTCCGCCAAGATCTCTCTCTGCAGTGCCCCCTCTCTGACTCCTCCCTTGGCTCCGCCAAGATCCTGCTCCGGCAGTGACCCCTCTCTGACCTCTCACTTGGCCCTGCCAAGATCCTGCTCCGGCAGTGACCCCTCTCTTGGCTTCGCCAAGATCCTGCTCCGGCAGTGACCCTTCTCTGACCTCTCTCTTGGCCCTGCCAAGATCCTGCTCAGGCAGTGATCCCTCTCTTTACTCAGGGCCCTCGGTCGCCGTCC